TCATCTTAAAAACAAAGGATGGAGGGGTTAAGAGAGATTAAAGATTAAAGATTTGAGTTTTTATATGAAATTTTGGAAAGGAATTGATAAGTAGAATTTGAAGTTAAATTTGACTTGTCAATAGTTAAATTAAGAGATTTGGAGTGATATAATTGGATTTAGAACATATAGAAAATTTGGTATGATTTTTGAATCTCATATGGAAAATAGGATTTGAGGTTTAAGATGAAATAAATGAATATAGATTGGTTTAAGTATGTGTACTAGAGTTAAGAATGAAAAAGGGGATGATATATGAAGTGTTTGAGAGAAAATGAAGTAATTTTCGGGTTGAAATATGATTTCTGGACAAGGGGAATCGGTACCCATTCAAGGGGAACCGATACCCCTTCAAACGACAGAATTCCAGAATGTCTTGAGGGAATCGATACCCCCATAGTAGGGAACCGATTCCCCCTAAAGGAAATGTGAATATTGGTGTAATAAGTTCGTTTAAGTTGCTAGTATCCAATTACAAGGTGTAGGTATCTAATGATTGCCTCAAATGTACATTTATGTAGATTCTACGCATAAAGCAATTCCGGAAAGTTTGGCAAGTAAGATCGATCAAGGGGAAATATAAGAGATTGGAATTGACTAGTGAGGCCAGGTGAGTGCATATTCAATAGTATACGATGTGCGATGGGAATAAGACTTGCGATGAGTCTATTTCCCTAAAGTGTTACACATGAATTCATGATTAAAGGCATGAGTGGAATATGCATGTATGTATGCTTGATTATATGGATTGATCTGTTCTTTTATGTGTTAGATGATAAGTATAAGTAATTACATAAGAAAGGTTATGAAGTTATATGAGAAGATTATAGGAGTTATATGAAATTGATTTAAGTAAACAGATTAGATTATATATATAAAGAAGTAATAGAAGTGAGATGTGTTTATAAGTCTGCCATAGATGAATATATGAATATGAATTATAAGAGTGCTATATGATTTATATTAGGATAAATCGTGAGGATATATATATATATATATATATATAAGAGAAGGCATAAGAGTAAGATATAACCAATGTGACTATAAGTATATGTACTCTAAGTGATATGACTTATAGGTATTTCTATTATAATGTTACATGATATGTTATGTATGTTAAATGAATTATGTGAGGGTATAAGAAATGATATGAAATATATATATTTGAAAACAAGTACATGTTATGAGATAAGACCTACGACTATAAGCTACGTGAAAGTGTTCTAGGTGTTTCTATATATTATATGAAGTATATGATCTTATGTGAATAAGATATGATAAGTATGTTTATACGAATAAATGTTTGAAAAGTCAATGTGACACTTCGGACTCGTATCCGGATCGGATACGGGTTGGGGGGTGTTACAATTTTCGTGGATTCTGCATCGTATCCGCTCCAATTGGGGCGGGGATGGATATAATTTTAGTGGGTAGTGGGCGGGTGTGGATTTAGAAAGTAGTACCTGTCGCAGGTAGTGGGCGGGTAATGGGTTTAGCACCTTACCCGCCCCGCATCCGCCCGCCCAGCTAAATATCAATTAAATTTTGAACCATTATGAATTTAGGTGTAATTTTAGAGACTAGTTTATAAATCATAATATTGTATAAGATATAACTTGTAATTTAACCAAATATTAGGGATAAGTTTATGCATGATTTTTTTTTCTTTCAAACCTCTCGTTACTGCGCCGATCTTTCAAATCTCTTGTCTCCACTCTCCAACTTATTCAAGTACGTTTCTTCCCTTTTTACTTGAAATTTAATTTTTGTAAGAGTCATATTCGTAGTCATTTAGTTTTAAGCTCATATGCATTTCGTTTTAAGAGTTTAATTTTTATTTGCTCGTATTATTTTTTAATTATTTTTTAGATTCATCTCAATGTTTGTTTTAAGCTTAATTTCTTAATGTTCTGCAAATCAGTATCTTGTCACTGAGCACCCACGTTTTAGGCCAACAGAGTCAGATCGTTGCTTCTCAAACTTCCATTTTTAACGCCACTGAATAGAATTAAGTGTTAAGAGATTCAATGTCTTCCTTGTGCTATATTACTTTCCCCTATTTTTGTCCCCGAAATTAAATTTATATTTTTTATCTTTTACTAATTGTAAAGTTGTCATTAGAATAATGACATAAAAAATTTATATAGAGTCAAGTAAGCATCTTTTTTTTCGATGTGTCAAGTAAGCTTCTTTAGTTCAGTATAGTAATATCATTTGTTTTTTTGCTTCTAATCTCTACCGAGAATCCTGTTTTAGGCACATCCTAAACTATATCTTGAAATGAAACACCAAATTTACTACTTTTCTTACTGTTAACATATAAATAGAGGAGTAAATGAATGTTATGCCCACATCTTTTACATTTATTTATGATAAGTAAATGCATTGAAGAGAAATCTTTGTAATGATATGGTTGTCTTATCGTTTATGGTTAGAATGATGTAATTGTTTTTGCTCATTTAAAAAGGACCTATGTTGTATTCTCCTTTCTGGAGAGCTGCTATTTTAAGAGGTCTTAAATCATCTTAGTTTGTTTCGACAAAACTTACCTGTTCTCAGCTTTTGTTTTGGTTAAATTCGATGATATTTTCTCATGATTTTGATGGAATAGTTTAGTTCAAAGAAAGCAGATGATAGGGAAATATAAATATATAATGTCCTTGAATCATATGCGTGTAATTCAATTGTCCTTTCCTGTTTTACTAAAAAAACATAGTTTTCTTTCTTTTCTAGTCCAATATAGATTTTCTTGTTGGATAACATAGTTATAATTTCTAAAGCAAACTGAAGATCCGGTTACGTGGGTAGTGGGGATTGATTTGAGAATGTACCCGCGTGGGTGGGTGTGGATTTGAAAATTTTTACCTATCATGAGTGGTGGGCGGGTGGTGGATTGAAAAATATTGGGTGGGTATGGGGAGGGGGTATCCGCACCCGACCTGCCCGTTTGCCATCCCTAAGATCATGTCAAGACTACTGTAATAAAGAATAATATTGTTGCTCAATACACGATGTCAATAAAATCAAAGTTGTAATGACAAAAATTATTGTAATCTAACGTTAAGATCAAAGTTTAAGTTAAGAACAATAAATTTTATTAATGTCATACTTACGACCAAAGAAAATAAATAAACAACACTTCAATATAAAGATTTCTTTTATAACGATTCGTATCAAAAGTATCTTTTAATAAAAAAAGAATCACTGAATTAAAACCTCTATAAGAAGAAATCGTCATATAAGATCAATTTCTTAGTTAATTCGTATTATTTAATTTAAAATGAGTTAAATAGATTCAAATAAATAAAGATTACTTAATGGATATGTTTTTATAATTACTGAAAAATAGAAAAAATAGAACAGGAAAAGGGAGTGGGAATTGTTATATATATTAATTGATAAAAAATGCTATTTGTCTTCCTATTTTTTTCCCTTTGCATGAAAAACATGGGTAACACTTTTCCGAAAATGCAGATCACACGTTGGGCCTTGTCCAAATTAGGGATATATATTTTGTCCGGATTTGACTTGTTTTAATCTAATCCGACCTTAATATCAAAAAAAATATATATAATCCAACTTGATTGAGTTAAACTAGACTCAAATTTAAGGTCAAAAAAATTTGACTAGACCCGATATAATATTATAATTATCCTTATATATTTAAGGACAATTATAATAATACTCTTATCTATTTTTTTTCCAATTAAGTCTTTAATTGACTTAATAAAAAATGATTTTTTAATATATATATATTTAGTTCGTATCAAGTCGGATGTAAATTTTAACCTAAAAAGCTAAGTCAAGTTTCATATCGAGACCCTTCTAAACTCCAAACCAAATGTGGATAAGAAAAAATAGGTTTAGAATAGAAAAAAAATCTGACTCAACCCAACTCATGGTCATTACTAATCCAAACACAAAGTACATTTTATTTTTCTAGTGTAATACAATGTTTAAAATATTTATTTTTAAAAAATTATATAAATCAATAGAATTACATATTTAATCATATACTCGAAATTACGTTATCTTACATGTTACAATATTATTAATATAAATAAAATTTGGATTCAATTGATCATACATCACATTAAAACCATGTTGATTGAGAAAATAGATATATTAAAGAAAATAAAAAGTAATTAGATATAGTGTTAACTTCAAACAGGTTATCAAAATAATCAAGAAAAGAAAATTAAAGGAAATTGGGAGTTGGAAACCTAATTTGACATGCCTGAAACATGAAAGCAAAATTAAAAAAAAAATACATATTAGCATTTGCTTAGCTGGATTGGGTTCTTATTTTAAAATGGGAAAAAAAGAAGTTTGATTAACGCTTCGTTTGACTGTGGTGTTCGTGTCGTGAAAGCGATGCAACTAATAAAAACCCAGCTGTCAGTACAGTAGGGCAAACTCCATATCGTCGACCAGCCGCCAGACTGTTGATTCTTCCGCTATGAAAAACACAAATGGTCAAATTCTTCTATTAGTCCCTATACACTGCATAAAATTTGAATTTACTCTAATTTGGTCATTTTAGGCCATGAATTTTTTCAAAATTTAAATTTTGGTCATGATCCAACACAATAGCCGTTAAATTGGTTAATTCAGATGACGCTATTAGTGCTTGTATGATGTGTGAATCATGCCTCCTTTACACTTTGACAAAAGTGTAGGTAGAAGCTAGGATGGACAAAAGAAATTGCCAACTTGGGAAGAAGGTCAAAGTTAAAATTCAGATCAAAACCCCAAACCGATAGGACAGTTTGCCAGCTTCCAAGTTACATATAAAGGCTTGAAATATTGGATATACTTTGTTGCATGCATAAGAATACTCGATTGTCTCACCAAAATAAACAACAAGACCTTTAAACTACTATTTATTTTCATCTCATTACCAGTTGGTCAAAAGGCTGTCTTATATATATACACACACAGTCGAGGAACAAAGAGAGAAAATGGCCGCAGGAGCAACAGCTGGGATGATGATGCTCCGATGTGTCCTGGAAGGAAGCCTAGTGATGCACGAGACCGAGGTCGAGCGGAGACCGTATCATCGGAACTGCAGCTGTGCTTTACACAATTTAAAGGGTGTTGTTTGCTCTTCGGGTTGTTCCCATGCTAGGAACGTAGCTTTTTCCAAGAAGAAGACCCGGAGGAATGATTGTTTGTTATCGATGGCGAATTCCCAATTCTCTACTCTGTCTTCTCTCGTTGTTGGCCGTTCCGTTAAAAGCATGGAATCGAAGACGTCGATGGGATTTTCCTTCATGGATGGTGAGAATATATCATAGTTTTGATATTGCTGCCATGTGAACGCTGGATTTTTAGTCCTTTTCTAGATTTTTTTTATTATTTTCATTTCTTTAAGATATGGAAATTATTTAGAGGAATTAGATCAAGTTTCTTTGAGGTATATATATACTTCCTTTTGAATGCTATATATTGAATTCATTGTTCTTTGTAAACAAGCTGTAGTGAGGGCCTCCATGGTTATGAAGGAAAAAAACTACAATATATCCCCATTTCATCCGAAATTTCTTCATTTCATAAACTTAATAGTGTCTTATAAAGAATTATAATTATTTGGACACGTTTGACAAACATTGTGTAATTATATTCCAGTTTTCATGAGTTAGATAATATAATTTTGTAATTTCAAAACTACATATGTTTAAATTTTAAAATAACATTAATTATAAAATTAAAGAGTATTATCACATCAATTCTTACATCTCTCTTAATAATTTATTTGTATAATTAACAAAATATAATTTTAATTTTAATTCAACACATCATTTTCTAAACATTTTTTTTGGATAAATAAAAATTTTATTACCCAAAGAAGAGTCAAAATACAAAGCAAAAACAACCAATCACCAATCACAAAACATTTACAACCTACTTACAAAAAGAATGATCGGTTAAGCTATACCCCAAGCATTACAAAGATTGATATTAATACTATCTAAACGGTTAATATTCTTTCCTCGAAGTTGAATTCCAACAACGTCTTTGACAGAATTGAGGATTTCGTCTGCAGTTCTTGAGCAACCTTTAAATATTCTACGATTCTGTTCTTCCCACAAAGTGTAAATGAAGGCAGACCAAGCAATTTTTAAGACAGTGGTAATAAGGGATTTACCTTTCCACTTTTCACAAGCATGAGTAACCATATCCTCCCATGACAGAGGTGTTTTCTGCAATCCTGACAGGGTTAAAATATTCCCCCAAAGGTAATTCGCTAAGTAGCAATCGAAAAATAAGTGATCGTGTGTTTCATTGGCTTCATTGCAAAACACGTAACACCCATCGATGTGGATTCCCATTCTTTGAAGCCGAGCACGAGTGGGAAGCCTATCATGTAAAGCCATCCAAGTGATCATAGAGTGTTTAGGGATGTGTAAGGAAAACCAAACTAATTTTTCCCATTGGACCTTGCTGCCTTTCGCTCTAAGTTCTTCCCATATATCTCTTGTTTTGGTTACTCCTTTAGATGAAACTGGAAAAGCTTCATTCCTGATCTTGAGCAGCCTTTTTAAACACCAACTAAGGTTGACACCCGCAGTCATAAGCCAAGGATCGTGGTCCTTAATCACATAGGCCTTGATCCAAGCAACCCAAATGGACCCATCACCAGCCAACATCTTCCGAATCAGATTAACTATGCAAGCCTTATTCCATAATTTGATTTTTCAGTCCAAGGGCCCCTTCCGATTTAGGCTGAAAAATTTTCATCGAACTAATACGCGCACCAGCAACAGCCTTGTCTGTTCATTTCCAAAAGAATCTGGAACATAGTTGTTCGATCTTGGTCAGAATCGAATTCGGCAGGACCATCTGTCTGCACCAATAATTTACAATGCTGTACAAAACAGCCCGGATGAGCTCAAGATGGCAAGCATAACTGAGATGCTTAGCAGACCAGAAATGCAATCTCGATTTTATATTCCCAATGAGCAGATCACAGTCTTTTTTAGAAAGTTTTTTTGGATACAAGAGGAACTCCTAAGTACCTCATAGGCAGACAACCTTGATTGAAACCAGTGCTCTGCTTAATCAGTTCAATATTACTAGGTGAGATTCCAGCAGTAAAAAAAACACATTTGGCAGCATTTAATTTGAGGCCAGACATTTCATAGAAAGACTCCAAAACAGCATAACACCAATAACAATCTCCACTTTGCCTTTACAAAAAATCAACAAATCATCGGCAAAAGAAAAGTGGGTTAATTCAATTTTCTTGCATTTAGGATAATAACAGTATAACCCTCGAGCGGCAGCTAAGTTTAACATTTTGGACAACACATTCATGGAGAGAGCAAAGAGAATAGGAGAAAGAGAATCACCTTCCCTAATACCTCTGGCTCCCTTAAAGAAACCAAACAAGCTGCCATTAAACAAAATTGAGAATCGAGCTTCAGTGTAACATGCTTCGATCCAACCAATGAAAGTCAGAGGGATATCCAAGGCTTTTAGGACTGCAGAAATAAAATCCCAGCTGAGGGTGTCAAAGGCTTTCTGGAGATCAATTTTCAAAGTACATCTTGGAGAAAGAGAGTTTCTGCCATAGCCCTTAACCAGTTCATGGGCAAGAATAATGTTATCAACAATAGTCATTCCCTTTATAAATGCAGATTGGTTAAGAGTAACAAGATCAGGAAGAAATCTGCTTAGCATGTTGACTAAAATTTTAGTAATAGCCTTGTATATCGCAGTGCAACAAGAAATCGGTCTGAAGTCTTTAACCTTACAAGGGTTAAGAATTTTAGGAATCAAGACAATAGAGGTTGCATTAAAAGCAGGAAGAAGAGCAGATTGCTAAAAGAAATATTTAATTGTTGTCACAACATCTTCTCCAACAACGAACCATTTTTTTTTGAAAAAACATGAAGAGTAAACATCCGGGCCGGGTGCTTCGTCATTACCTTGACAGAATATAGCTTCTTTAATTTCCTCTGTGGTAATTTCCATGGTCAAGCTTGAAAATAATTCAGGAGGCAAAGAAGAATTAAGAAGATCCTTCAGGAATTGAGGTTCGCTAGCTTTGACATTAGAATCAGCAGTCCCAAGTAACTTAGAATAGAAGTCAAGAATTTCAGAGGCCATAGCATCAAAAGTTTCAATTATGTTTCCATTGTCATCAACCAGCACTCGAATAGTTTCTTTTTTGTTTTTTGCAGCAACTGTAAAGTGAAAGAACTTAGAGCATTTATCACATTCTTTAATCCATTGAATTTTAGCCTTTTGCTTTAGGAACAATAATTCAACTTCCTCTAATCTGATGAGCTCATTTTTCAACTGGAGTTCATTGCTGAATAAGTCAACTCCTTGTAAGGATTTAAGTTGTTGTTGCTCAAGCTCAGTTCTCTTCTGTCTAACCCTATTAGAAATATCGCTATAGTATGTAGAATTTAAATTCCTAAGGGTAGACTTAAGGCGCTTCAATTTAAGGAAAAGTTTCTGCATTGGATTTCCCTGAATTGCGCACTGTCAGGACTGTTCGACCAAGGTCAGAAAGGAATGATGGAGGGTCCAGAAATTAAAGAACCTAAACAGTTTGGGACGATTAGCTGGAGTATCTTTTTAGAGCCAGACCATTGCCATACAGTGGTCAGAGACTGCAGGAGTAAGAAATTCAACAAATGAGATAGGGAATGAGCTAACCCAATTGGAATTGACAAGAACTGATCAAGCTTTCTTGCGAGGAAGGAATCGATCTGTTTATTACTCCAAGAGAAAGTAGGCCCAAAAAAAGGATGGTCATGTAAATCAAGATCAAGAGTTACATTATGGAATTCCTTCATATCAGGAGAGGAGAAGGGAAATAATTCAAAATCAGAACTTTCATTTGGATGGAGGGTTACATTGTAATCACCTCCCAAAATCCAAGGAAGGTGGTCAATACCCCTATTCAGATCATACAAATGCTGCCAAAGATGCCTTCGAATTATGCCATTGTTACTACCATACACTACTGTAACAATAAAAGATTTACCAAGAAATCGAGCCTTGGCAGAAATGGATTGGTCAGAAGTATGGATTATAGTAAACTCCAAGCCATTCTTCCATAAAACCCAAATTCTTCCATTTGCAGCATACTCATAGTTAGAGCTAATATTCCAATTAGCTAATTTTGATTCAAATATGTCCTTGGACTTGTCAGTCTTGACTCTAGTTTCTAATAGACATAGGACATCCACATCTTTTATTTTTAATTTGAATAGTAATAATAATAATAATAATAAACTTATACCCCTCCATGATAATAGATCAAAAGTCCAAGAATGATATGGTCTATGGGTACTTCATTACATCTTTTATTTTTAATTTTTTAAGTAGTATCTTTTTAAAGATAATTGTCAATCATTTGACATTGAACGCTCACACCCTTGACATTTCTTATGCTCGAACCTGAAATCTCACTGAATAACAACAATTTTTTTGCCAAAAGAAATAACATCAATAAATTTATTATACCACTCCATGATAATAGATCAAAAGTCCAGGAATGATATGACCATCATTGGAGACGGATGTATATAAAAGAGTGAGACCTTGTTCTTTCTAATTTTTTTTATTTAATTGTATTTTAGATCTTTATCAATTTAAACTTAAATTAAATTAAGGCTTTATTTCTTATAAATTTTGAGATCAAATAGTCAACGATTCCTTAAGATAATTTATCCCTATTTATTGGTCATAGCTTCGTCCTTGTCCAAAATGTATAATACATTACCCATAATCAACAATAAACTTAATTCACATTGTACCTCTCCAGCATTTTGCATGGAGGACAGGACAGGGTTTGATTAGCATTATAATATGTTGAACAACGTAAATGAGCTCGGTTTTGTCCCTTGGGAAAGAAGACAAAGAAACGAACCCACTCCCAAGAGAATTCTTCGTTCATCGGAGAGGATCGCCTTGTGGTTCCCTAAATTAATTAAAAACAATAAATACAATTACGCTAATTTCCGCAATCTATGTTAGTTACTCTTAAAGACTTGACTATTGGTTTAAGACAAAATATAAGAAAGAAAAACAAGTGAAAACTCCAACCTAACACAAACAAACCCACACAATTCTTCCTCTGAATACTAAGAGATTCTTTCCCTTTCTCTTTGGGAACTGAAATTGTAAATAACAAGATCAATGTTACTTGTCTTGTACTCTACGTTGAATGCAAGGGTTTCCCCCTCTCTATATATGCTCATTTCGGGAAGCATGTAATTCACAGCAAAACCCTTGAAGCTTCTCCCACACTTGCATAAAAAAATAACTGCATAAAAAAATAACACTTTGATTTAGAAGAAAGGAAATGAGAGGAGAGTGAAATGGCAGCTGAGGTGATGTCCGGTGTGTTTTTGAAGGAAGCATGTCGATGGAAGACAGTTTGGTCCAACGGAGGCCGTATCATTGGAATTGCGAATGTGCATTGCACAAGCTCAAAGGGGTTTGTTCTACTTGTAGTTTCCGGACAACAAATATGTCGTTCCCTAAGAAACAAGCATGGGATCATTATTCCTCGTCTTTCTCGCCTTCCAAATTCTCTTCTCAATCTCCTCTTCTTCCCGATGTCTCCTTCACCGGTTTTGTATGAAAGAGAAGCTGAAACAATTAAGTTTATAGTTAGTCTCCAAAGTACAGTTCCTCTAGATATCTAAACGGAAAACTTGTAGCCGAACTACCTCACTGTAAATTATTCCAGAGCAAAACTTCATTGTAAAGAAATATTTCTACTATTTCCTGTTTAAAGTTTTACATTATCAAAAATATAACATTACTTTAACCAAACAAAACCTAAAGGTCACTTCTATAGAGCTAATTATTTGGACTTGTATGACTGATTTCCTCTGCCTTTTCTCTCTTCCTTTCTTTTTCGAATTAGATTTTATATCAATAAATACAAACTGAACACAGAACAAAAACATTTTAGCAGAAACTGTATTAAATTTGAGACAAAAATATTAAGATGTTTGCCAATTCTAAACCTTAAATCTTTTCTAGTTATTTAATAGTACAAATAGTAATTCTTGGCATTTTGACCGCATAGCACAGTGGATTAGCTCGTTTGACTTCGAATCAAAAGGTCGTGGGTTCGACTCCCACTGTGGTCAAAATATATCATATTTTTTAAATTTTGTTATTACTTTAGGGTAAACTACATCATATACTACTGAACTTTTAATGGTATATCGTTCATATCATCGAATTTTCAATTGTTTTGATTATAACATTAAACTTTTGTTTTGTTTAACTGTAAGTGACTATTAAAATAATCCAGTGCGTAAAACTAAACCTTTTTAAAATTTAGTGACAAAATTTATACGCCTCTAAAATTTAGTGTCTAAAACAACATAATTGTGAGCATTAATAGTTATGTAAAAACGATTTTGTTTTGTCTACATTATCACAATGATGAAAAAATTCATCCACTTTATCGCATTATTAAAATTTAACGGTTTAATTCTATAATTGATGCCAAAAATCAAAGTTTAATATTATAAATTCAACAATTGAAAGTTTAATGATATGAACGATGGACTACCTAAAATTTAGTGATCTCTAGGGAAATTTACTCTTATTTTTATAGTAGAATCTATTTCGTTATTATTTTTATAATAAAATTATGTCCATATTATATACCAAAAAAATGTCACAAATTTGTTGGGGTTTAATTTTTATAATTGTAATAATATTAACATTTGAGACGAAATTTTAAAATAAAATATTACTTTTACTAACAATATTGATATATTTTTTTATAATTTGAAGTGAATATAAGGTAGTATGTGTTTAAAGACATTTTTAACTATTTAACAATGAATGTTTATAACCCTATATACGCGATGTTCAAATCTGAAATCTCAAATAATAATAACAATTCGAGGTGAATTGAATTGTGTATATTAATATTAGTGTTAGTATTAACACATAAATTGTCGTATCAAAGACTTGCATGACTGCATCTGTGCTTTCCTGCACTTGGAGATGATCGCCTAGTAATTCACCCAAAATTACTGAGACAATAAAAGATAATTTCAAGAATCAATTCTACTCGACTTAATACGAATGAATTGAATCAAGACAAAAATAATACACAAGAAACCCCCCCCCCCAACTTTATCCAATAGCTTCCAAAATTACTACACATTCTTTGTTTCTCTCTGTGTCTTCCTTTCAGTGTTTTTTCTTGGAAACATAATTACTATGAGAAAACTAAAACAGACCTAGAGAAACACGTTAGTCTTTAGTTGGACTGTTGGTAAACAATACTTTGGTTTGAACGATATCAATGTTAATTGTTTTGTATTCTACGTGGGAATGCAATGGCTTTTCTCTCTTTCATTCATCTCTCTATATGTGGTCCACACTTTCATAGAGAGATAATAGTTTGGTTTACAAGAAAAGGAAGAGACAAGAGGGAAATGGCCACTGGTGCTTCTCAGATGATGCTCCGGTCTGTTTTCGAAGGAAGCATATCGATGCAAGACGGTTCGATCGAACGAAGGACGTACCATCGGAACTGTGAATGTGCAGTGCACAAGCTCAAAGGGGTTTGTTCATCTGCTTGTAGTTTCCTGACAAACGATATATCATTCCCTAAGAAACAAGCATGGGGTGATTTTTCGTTGTCTTTGTTGGCTTCCGAATTCTCTACTCAATCTCCTCTTCTTCTTAATGACTCTTTAACCAGAATTGAGAAAATGCCGATGAAGCTCAGCAGCAGATAAAAGTTTATAAATTTTAAAAAAAAGTTAGTAAATGAGAACTCTTTTCCCTTTGATTTTTCAATTTAGTTTGACGTTAATATTTAATCTCCAGCAGTGATTCCTCGAGATCCAACTAATTTATCTTTTGCAGGAGTAAAATTTATTACGTCGATGACAAGTATAAAAGGAGTTCACGGCAGTACTTCAAACCTTAGAGCATCCCGCCCCTCACATACCTCAATTTTCTTCTTTAAATCTATTTCTTTACCCAAGGAGTTGTACTAAACGTTTCGAACTAGGCTAAATTGGAAATCGAATAAAAACCTCTAATGATCTTAGAGGATATATATATATTTATGTACTTTTATGTAAATTCTTGAATAGAAAGTTTCTACGTTTTCCTTCTTTTAGTCTTTACATGGACATGCGAAATTTAATCCATAAAGATGATTAGGATTGTGATTATATTGTGAAACTATTAACCACGATGCATAACAAACAGAAATGGAAATGTAATCTTTGACATTATTTGGAACGTGGTGGTACCATCACAATGACAAAGCTTGGGAGACATCGCAAGAGGAGTCGCAAATAGTTTGGTATGAAACATACCAGTGCAATGAAGTAACTCAAAAATGTATTTCCTCCGATCAATGTAAGAGCAACTCTTGACAGTATGTTCAACCTCAATATCAAGGAAATACTTGAGTAAACCAAGATCCCAGAGAGAAAATTTATCATGCAGGCTATGGATTATTTGACTGATAGTATGATATGATCTTCATAGCTGTCAGTGAGAAGAATTAATGCCATCGATATAGACATTAAGATAGTCACAACACCCTCGGATGTATAAGTTGTGAACCCCAAAGAAGAAAGAAACTCCAACTTATAGAACCAGTTTCTGGGAGCCTGACCGAGACCTACAATGCTTTCTTAAGCTTGCAGACAAAAACTTCATTCCCAAATATTTTCTTCTCAAATCCAGGAGTTTGTTGCATGTAGACATTTTTGGTGAGATCTCCTTGTAAGAAGACATTGTTGACGTCCACCTGATGAGCATATCACTGTCGAGTGACAGCCAATGGAGGAAGAATGGTAACTGTAAAAAAAATTACGACATGACTAAAAATGTTTATAAAATCATGGCCATGATCTGCTTGTATTATCGCAACTACAAATGTGCATTGCACAAGCTCAAAGGGATTTGTTCATCTACTTGCAGTTCTCTGTCAATGAATATAACATTCCATAGGAATTGATATGTCCCTTTGTTTCTTCCCTACATAATAGGAACCAGAATCATGCTAAGTAACAATGTCATCAAATATTCAAGATGTATTACGTAAAATTTGTTTTCCGTTAATATTAATGACTTCCACCTCTATTGACACCTATATATGTTTTACGGTATCCTCCAGGATTTCCTCTGCCTCGTCCATAGTTATTGACAGCTTCACCTTCGTTAACATATAACTTGATTTCCAAAGTTTGCTTAAAATTAAAAAATTTAATGATTAATTTTTTTTTTTAATTTTAGTGATCAAAATAGGAATGATAAGATAGTTTAGTGATAAATGGTGGAGTTTATGCAAAAGCCTATAGGGTATGCCCCACACTCCCCGAACTACCAACCCCTCCCATCTCCATCTGCTCCTTTCTCCCTCTCAGCCATGTCTTCACAATTCACATGGCCTCTCCTCTATCACCCATCCCTACTCCGCCCTTTCTCTCCTCCTCCTCCGCCGCAACTACCCTCACTCGCCGCTCTCTCCTCCTCTCCTCCACCCTATCCACCACCCTCACCACCCCACTCTTATCTTCATCTTCATTGTCACCGCCACTAGACACCACCATAACCGACCGGGTCTTCCTCGACTTCTCCCTCTGCCCCACCTACTTCCGCAGCACCACGGCCGTCGACAGCACCCCTCTATGCTCTGACCCCACTTCTTTAGGCCGCCTGGTCCTGGGCCTCTATGGCAATCTCCTTCCTATAACAGTCTCCACTTTCAAGCTCATGTGCACCTCTTCCTCCTACAAAAACACCCTCGTCCACAAAATATTTCCCGGACAGTTCTTCCAGGCCGGACGCCAAGGCCGGAGTCGAGAGTACGGCGAACTCCATCTTCCCCCTTCCTTGGACTTGCCTAGGAACACTGAGACTGTCGACTCTAAGGCCTTCTTGCTTAAACATTCAAGGGCTGGAGTCGTTTCGCTTTGTTTATCGGAGAACGATGATGACGATGAAGTTAAACTCGATTCTGATTATAGGAATGTTGAGTTTTTGATTACTACAGGGCCTGGCCCCTGCCCTCAGCTCGATAACAACAACATTGTTTTTGGGACGGTACTTGAAGGTAAGGTTTTGATCTCTATTTTATGTGCTTGAGCTATCTTCTTTTCAAGATTTGCTGGAAAAAACTTAAATTAGTTCTTTTGATATTGGGAACACACTGAAATTTTCTGAGCTTTGGGATGAACAGTCAAGATCTTTCAAATGCCTAGACTTCCAACAGAGCTGCTTCCTGTTTTAAATTGGCTGGAGTGCATGTGTTCATTGCTTTGCTGAGGCTTTTGGTGCCTAATTTAGATTTATCAAGCTTTACTACCCTTGCCTATGGTTCTTTATTCAAAACTCATCTATGGCTTTTATATTAAGTGACGGACATAGGATTTTATATTTGGATGTGAACATAGGAAATTATTAAAAGGCTTAAATTTTTCAGTGTGAAATTAGATCATTAATAGAAAATATCTAAATTATGTAGGAAATTGAAAATTTTCGATGTACTAGAGCACCTCAACACCCCTTGGTACTTTCCTGACTGCACCTCAAAACCTTCTCATAATCTTTAAGGCATGCTGACACTGTTAGAGTAGAATTACATGATTTCTTTTACATCCCGAGGACTTGTGTCTTTCCCAGTTTGCATTTCTGGCAAAAATGCATACCATTTCTAACTCTGATATTGCTTTAAGAACTCTTATGTATGGATGGAATTCCTCCTTCACTGCTCTCGTGCTTCTGTACACATTGTCTAGATGTTAAGAAATAGTAAAGTTGATTTTCCGATTGAATTCAGGGTTAGATGTTGTGACTGCAATTGCATCCATCCCGACATACAAACCCTCGGAAAGAATTCGACAACTAAATGACTTGGCCGAATTCTTCGGAGATGAAAGAGCCCAAAAGGGGCGGACATTATGGAACAGGCCTCTTAAAACGGTTTATATCAGCGACTGTGGTGAGCTCCAAGTTGCCAAGCCTTCATTGTCACCACCTTCTCTTCCTTAATATACATAAACATCATTTTATTTCATTTTCATGTACAAACTCTTCCATTTTGGTTTTGTGTAGCATTGCTTTTCGAATTGGTTTTCGCTTTAAACTGGTATTTCTTCACTTGATCATAAATAACATGTTTCTACCTCCCAGGGGTGAGATTGACTGTTTAGTTAAATGGCTTGCAATAACATATTGGAACAGTATTTCTCATATTTCTATACACATTCAGGAGTTTTGGTGTAACTTCATTGTCTTTTTGACAGTGGAACATGCATTCTTAACCTACTTATGTTCGAGTTCGTGTTATCTTTTAACTCATAAGACGTCTTTTGTGAGCAAAATCGTATGCCCAATAGACTGAATCAGGTTTGCCATGTGAGCTTAAGGGTCAAATATAAGCAGTTTCTATTCAAACTTCATATCAGATATTTACCAATTTTTTTTGCATGTAACGAAAGAATATTACTGTACTCTAAACATGGATTCCAAGAGAATTTGTATAAAATGAACCGAATTGCGAATGGCTGAGATAGTATGATCGATTACAACCCTGGCCGGGTTCGATGTCGATCATCTTCAAATGGAGCAGCAAACCTGGAAGAGAAATTCCGAAGCAAATCGTCTCCTTTATCAGCACCATTATCGAAGTTGAGAGCATAGCTACAAGCATCATACTGAAACCTGTTCTTTTGACACTTACGCTGATGGCAATATCCACTCATCTTCCTTATAAAATTCTTCCACTTGGGACCTGCTACTTTTTCCGAGACTTGTTTCAGTTTATTCAGTTTCGGTTTCCACCATGTCTCGGTCTGCTCTTCTCCTCTCCGGTGCAATAACGAATCGGATTCATCGTCGTCGTTGAATCGTCGTCTTTTGAAGCAGAAGAGGCTGAAACAACTACATCCTTTACCCCAAACTTCGTCTTCATATTCAACCTGATCGACATCCAGTTCTGCTTTCATGAAGATCGGTTTCTCTTGATAGTTCGTCATGGAATACTGAAACCAAAAGAGAACAAAAAAGGTTATGAATTTTTGGATTGGAATAGGGGTAAAAGGAGGGTTTTATATGGAGAATTCCGTGGTAGAAACAAGGGAAATAGGAAAGAAGGAAGTAGGGTAATGGAGTATTAGTAGTAGGTAGGCGTCGCGTTGAGTCATGGGACTATGGCGGCTGAGCGCTACGCGGTATCTTAATGTTATTGGAAATCGTGTGGATGGAAGTAGCAACGAAGAAAAATGCTAGGGGTCAAAGCACATATGATTAGACTTAGAGTGGTCAATTTCTTGCTTAGACCAAATTATAAAACTAAAATCCCTAAAAAAATAAATTCAAAAACAAATTACTCCATCTCTTTTTTATCTTTGTATAATTAATTTTAATTTAAAAATAAGAACAAGTATTTTGTTTACTTAATCTTATTTTATATTAGTGTTAAATCTTAATATTTAAAATCACTCTTTCATTAAAAAAATCATAAACTCTTTCATAATCTCTAAATCTTAAACTTTAAATCTGAATCTTAAACATTAAATTCTAAAGTAAAATAAGTATATAAACTAAATTTTACACCACATATATATCAATTTTTTCTAAAATAATATAAAATGCTATATTAATAAGAATAAATTTATGAAATAGGGAGGATTTACTATTATTTCAAACAATATAGTTATATTCAATTCTTATTTGATTTAAGGGTTTAATTTTTAACACTTTTAAAGAAAAATAAATTAAGTTTTTAAATATTTTCATCTAATTAAGTCTATATACTTTAAAATTTTATTAATTTAATTTTTACCACAGTTGATTATTAAATTTAATCTTTACATTTAGATGGTGTTTTCAGTGATGGAACTGTTTCGTTGCCACAAGTGATTGAAGTTTTCCAATCAATTGAGACATTTTCTTTAAAAAACAATGACTTGAAAAAGATCATTTATACTCGAGATGAGGGTTTGAATTGGCTACTTTTAATTAGATCCACACCCATATATTTCTCTTATATATTTACCTCATTCTGCACAGAGTTGGAAAATGTACCCATCAATGTACAAGAAATATCCGTGTTCTATTCACATCTCAGCCACAATATTCTTCAAAGCATTGGAGCATTGACTTCTCTTAAAAGGTTGGCATTGTCCAACAGTTGGCTGACCCGCCCCTTACCTGCTAAAGGTAAATTATTTACTCTCAAGAAATCTTCCACTCTTTAACAAATATTAGTCATCATTGCCCATGGAGCTTGATTTAAACTTATAGGGAAAAATATATGTTTTGTTAGATATTTCACAAATTTATTTTACAGGTTGGTGCGACTTATGGAACCTCGAAGAGCTAGATCTCATTGGAAATACACTTGAGGGCTCAATTCCTTCTTGTTTCAGTAACTTGACTTCTCTTCGTCTTCTGGATATTTCAAATAATCGTATCGAAGTTCCATCTTCATTCATATCATTTGCAAACAACTCTCTTCCCAAGTATCTCCTCATGGATCAAATCCATTTGGTCAGAGAACCTACATTTCAGATTCGGACCAAAAACTCAGAGTTTCAACTAAAACTCTTGCGTGTGTCAAATTTTTCGACAAAGGAACTCTCTAAAGAACTTTCCAACTTCCTCTATGACTAATATGACTTTAGATATCTTTGACCTTTCGAATAACAACTTTGGTGGACAAAGTCCATCTTGGTTGTTGGAGAATAATACAAGGCTACAACAATTCCTCATGGAAGGCAATTCTTTCAAAGGCCCTCTACAGTTACCAAAACATGCTAATGTTAACATGTTTGAAGTTGATATGTCTGGGAATAAAATGCAAGGCCAAGTTCCAGTGAACATATGCTCAACTTTTCCACATTAGAGGCTTTTTCCTTGTCTCGGAATGCCTTTGAAGGTAATATTCCTCCATGCTTAGGTGGTTTGAAGTCTTTATCATGGTTAGACCTATCATATAATATTTTTTCTGGAGGAATAATGGAAGAGTTAGCCAACAGTAACTCGTTGGTGACTCTCAGACTCTCAAATAATAACTTCAGTGGAACAATACCACCTTCAGTATTTAGCTCAATCGGTGAGTTGTATTTGGATGGCAATAACTTTCATGGAGAGATACCAAAAATTGATACCTCAGCCAACAGTTTTTCTTTTCCTTATGATATGGATCTAAGCAACAGCCATCTGTCTGGTAAGCTCTCAAGATGGATCTTGAGCTATGCAATTTAGATTAGCTTAGATTTTTGGAACTTTCATGGAACAGTTTGTCTGGCTCTGTGTCATCTTGCATCAGTTCACCAACTATACAGCATCTCCACTTGAGCAGAAATAGACCAAGTGCGTGCGATTCACAATAGCTCTTCATTGGTGACATTAGAGCTTAGCCAAAATAACTTTACTGGCAAAATTCCAAATTGGATTGGCACCTTTCAGCTTTGAGTATCCTCATCTTGAAAGCCAATCACTTTGAGGGTGGAATTCCTAGTCAAATATGCCGATTGAACTCATTAAGTATGATAGATCTTTCTCAAAATAAGCTTTTTGGTCCTATTCCTTATTGTCTAAGTAATTTATATCTTGAGCCAACATTTGGAAAGTCTTTTGACACTGGGAACGTTGCACTTAGGATTGAAGTATTACAAGATGCTCAGCATAATCGATTTTCAATGCATTGGTATCCTCATACCTATGTGGAAGAATAAGTAGTGTTTACGAAAAAGAAAGGGTTGTACACATATTCAGGTCTCATTCTTGAATATATGTCCGGCATTAATTTATCCTGCAATAGGCTAACCGGTCAAATCCCTCCCGAGATAGGGAACCTGAGTGAGCTCCATTCATTAACCTTGTCCCACAACAATTTGACTGGTTTTATACCCACATCGTTCTCAAAGCTTAAACAAATTGAGAGTTTAGACCTTTCTTACAACAACTTAAGCGGCATAATCCCCGTCCAGTTGATGGAGTTGAACTCTCTGGCAGTCTTTAATGTTTCCTACAACAATTTGTCAGGTAGCATTCCACATGAAAAGGCTCAATTTGCGACATTTGATGAAAGCAGCTACCTGGGAAATCCTTTTCTTTGTGGACCTCCAAAGCATGAAGATTGCACCGAAACTGATTCGACCTGAATATCACCAAATGCCTCTGGCAGCGAAGAAGAAAGCGATTGGGTGGACATGCATGCCTTCTATGCGACTTTCTGGGTTTGTTACGGAATTGTGTTGAAGACAATTGGGGCAGTCCTCTACATAAATCCTTATTGGCGGAGAGTATGGTTCTATTTCATTGGGCACTGCATCGGCACTTGCCACTATTTCATTGTGGATAATGTTATAGCATTGTCCATATTCAGCAGAAGCTCGTAGTCTAGTGCCTTGGTGGTATGCAAATATTCTTCAACCTCTTCTCAAAGTTAAGTTTATTTAGTGATATTTTATTCAGTTAATTATATATAAAAAAGTTTACGCAATCTTATCCACATTATTTACAAGGGATCATACTATAAAATAATAAAACGATTAAAAGAAAAATTATGTCATCATGGCTTTTTCTCTATCATAGTGGTCGTTTCCTCTATTCTTGTAACACGCCTATAGTGTCAATGTTATTTCTTTGTATGTTGAAAAAACTCTTCTAATGACGAAGACAGAAAATGATTTGACGGGTTTATCACTTTGTGTAAAGGAAGAGGAAGCACTCGTTTTAGAACCGGAGTCAAGGGATATGGCAGTCTCTTTCGCCAATTGTTTCGTGGATTATTTCTTAACGTATAGTGTTATCAATTTTCAATCGATAAGAACAACATTGACAAATGTGTGGTTGCATGTGTGGCTTCACAAATTTCCAAATTATCACAAATCTTTAAGTACTCTGTTTTTTTTCTGATTAGATCTTGGAACTAGCGGCCATAGTAAAACCTATTCATAATCTTTAAGGCATGCTGACATTGTTAGTTTAGAATTACATGATTTCTCTCTATTGCATGATATAAACAATTATAGATTCTTTTACATTAAATGCTTTGTTTATCCGATGCATCCCAAGGAATTGTGTTTTTCTAGGAAAATGCATACCATTTCTAACATGCTTGTCCGTCTGAAACTCTGATATTGCTTTCAGAACTCGTATGTATCGATGCAATTTCTCCTTCAATGCTGTCTCCTTCATCTGATCACTTTGTCTGGATGTTAAGGAATAGTTGATTTTTT